GTTTACGTGAAAAAAATTTTTTTCTTTTTTTTTTTAGCATTGAAGGCTGGTGAAAAACTCAGTAAATTCGAAAAAAGATTTGAGTCGGTTTTTGACATCATTTTAATTTTTTTCAAGGCTTGAACCGCGACGCACGACCGCGACGCGTGTAATGATACTGAAGAGCTTTTCAAATGTTCCTTCAGATTTATTGAATCAAATAATACTTTTGTAAACGATGCACACGATTTTCAAGCAGTGCTTCAGAAATTTTGATGAAAACCGCTCGGCGCGACCGCAACGCGTCTGGAGGTACTCGAGAATCGCCTCTTTTCTGAGATCAATATCTCCATAAAAGGGTCTTGAACAGATTTCAACATGTTATAGGATCATAATTCCTTTACAACAGCTTAATAGTTGTGTCAAAGTCATGGAACAGGTTTCACCCCCCTAAACCTTATAACTTAAAAAAGGAGGACCTCAATCTTTCCTTGTCTCCCTTATCCTCGTAATTTCCGAGAAGAAGGTGAAGAAAAAGGGAAATTTGTGGGAGGAATGAGGCAAGGCCTCATACCTTATTCGAATGCGGTCGACGACGAAAGCCCGCGAGAAGAAAAGTAGAAGAAGAAAAAAACTTTCCACACGCTCATCTACTTTGTTATGCAATACGGGGCCCCGAGAGCCGCATTTTCCTCTCGATTTTCTCATCTTTTGCCCTTTTTCCCCTACCTACAAGTGCCAAGAAACTTGTCCTGAAGCCTTTTCCATTGATCAGAATTGAAATAGGATATCACATGAGCAACGGTGAGGAATAACCATTGCTACTTCGACCGAAACTTGTAACATGAGCAATAGGAGGAAAAGTGGGAAGTTTCAGTTTTTTTCATAGGCTCTCAAGCCTGAAATTCGAGCCGGGTTAAACGCCCGGGAATTAGGTTATATTCAATTTGTGACTGTTCAAAATGTCCCGGCCGCATTTGGAATGGCTTAACGCGTTGCGCGTGCGACGCGGCTGACTTTGAAAATCCGCATGTATTTCTTAAAGATTTCAAAAACCCAAAAGATAAAAAAACCCTGGTTCATTAACAACAGCTTATAATTGTTCTGGTCGCATTTGGAATGGCTCAATGCGGTCGCGAGGTGTCTGACTTTAATATTCTGGAGCGCAAGTCGCTCCGTGGTCGGGCGCAATTTTATGGCAACTCGAGCCGACCAATGGGCTTCAAGATAAAGAAATCAATCTTGAAAATCGTTCGAAAAAAAAACTGTCTGTAATGAGAAGATAAGATAATCTGTCCTAACATGAGGAATTGTGAGAAGTTTCAGCATCTCCTATGTCCCGCAAAGACCGGAATTCGGTCCAGATTAATTTTCTAGAGTTTAGTGAGCCTGGATGCATTTGTAACGGCTTGACGCAATAAAAGGGCAGCTGACTTTAATGTTCCCAATAGATTTGAGCGCAAGTCGCTTCATGGTCGGACGCATTTTGGTCGGAGATCGATCTGATAAATCATTTGTGTTAAGCTTTTCAAATGCGATTTTTGCAGGTTTTTTATGTAAGAAGATATCTAACATGAGCAATAATGAGAAAAACAAACTTCTCTTTGACTTTTGACCTAAGCTTGTAACATGAGCAATAGGAACTTGAGAGCCAAGAAGTTGTCGGAAATAAGAGAAACACTGAGAAACTTGACCTTTTCTTTTTTTTCCGTTTTTTTCGAGAAGTTTGAAATTTTTGCACTTTAGAAGGTTTATATGTAAAGTCAATTTGCAGAGAAACTCAAGTTTGAACTGTAACATGAGCAATAGTGAGACGTTCATAGAGATTTATGGCGCCTTTTTGCAACAGTAAAAATTATTTTTCTCCTGAATTTTAAGTGTCATTTTTTGGGCTTTGCTGAACATACCACAAAAAGATTGCTAGAGTTCTATTTTAGCGTAAAATGAGCAATACTGAGTCATCCAATTTTTTTACTGAAGGCAAAAAGGACAGTTTTCGGTCCTTTAACATGAGCAATATTGAGATTTTTTTACTTGTGTTTTCTGTTTTCTGGAAATCGTCTCATTAGCTGTAGTAAATTTTCCAAGCCTGAAAAAAACGGCAAAAAACGGCCGCATGACTCGAACCCGTGACCCTTCAAACGTCACGTCAAGAAGCACGGGGAAAAAAAACGGGGCGATTTCGAACCCAATCAGTTCAATTTTGTGAGTGTCTTTGTTGATTTTGGGCCTGTTCCGTTTGACTTTTTGCTTCGCCGCCCGCTGATCCGATCATTTCTCTCGCCCCCCTCTCGACCCTCTCAGTTCCATGTGCTCTCTCGTCGCCCGCCGGCAGCCCGCCCTTCGATCAACAAAATTTTTATCGAATGCTTCTTCTTTCAGCGTCTGTTTGTAAGGAGTTTCAACTCGGTTTCAGTTTACTTCAATAATTAATTTAGTTGATTAGTTAATTGATTTGTCTTTCTTCCACTTTTCGTATCGAGATTTTTTGGGATTTTAAAGCTTTTCCATTGTTTTTTTGTACAGATAAGGATTTCAACCAAAACTTTTATCGGATTTTCCTTTTTAAGTGTCTTTTTCAAAGAAGTTTCAATTCATATTCAAGTTACTTATTTAGTTAATTGAGGTGATTGATTAGTTAATTATGTTTTTTTCTGACTTCCTGTATTGAAATTTTTCTGAAGGTTTTTTTAAAATTCAAGTGGTTTTTCCATTGGATTTTTTTGTACAGAAAAACGATTTCCAAATGATTTTTTTGTCGGATTTTTTTCTTTTTTTGAGTGTCTTTTTTAAAGGAGTTTCGATTCATATTCAAGTTGTTTTTTAGTTATTTGAGCTGATTAATTATTTAATTATGTTTTTCCCACTTCCTGTATTGAATTTTTCCGAAGGGTTTTTTGAGTTTTGAGCGATTTTCCTTTAGATTTTTGGACAGAAAACGATTCCAAGCAAAATTTTCTTTTCAGTTGTCTTTTTAGAGGAGTTCCAACTCGGTTTCAACATGCTATTAATTAATTCAGTTGATTAATTAAGTAATTAGTCTTTTTTCTACTTCCTGCGTTGAAATTTTATGAAGGATTTTTTAAGATTCAAGAGGTTTTCCATTGGGTTTTTGTACAGGAAACGTCTTCGAACTGAATTTTTCCTCAGATTCTTTTTTTTAAAGTGTTTTCAAGTTAATTTTCAGTTGGCTTTTGAGTGACCACCTCAATTAATCAAGTTAATTAGTTAATTGATGATTTTTTTAAACCTTAACAACTTTTCCTGGGCTTTTTGAAAGATTCAAGATCTTTTCCTTTGGATCTTTGTACAGAAAATGATGTGAAACTGTATTTAATATAATTGTTTTTTCAGTAACTCCATGAGATGAGGGTCAGTTTTATTCCCAGTTACGTAATTAAATGATTAATTAAGCTGAAAATCGATGAAAATGATAAACGCAAAAAAATTATAGTTTGCTTTTTTTTTTTTTACTGTTTTTTTCAACTCAAAAAAATGGTAGAAATTGTTGATTTAACTCAAAAAAATTGAGCTTTTTTTGAAATTTTTGAGATTTCAATAGTTTTTCAGTTGGATTTTTTTGTACATAAAATGATGTCAAACTAAATTTTTCCTCAAATTCTTCTTTTTTTAAAGTTTTTTTAAAGTTGATTTTTCATTTGGCTTTCGAGTGACCTTCTTAATTAATTGAGATAATTAATTAGTTAATTTTTTTTCATTTTTAACTTTTTTTCTGGGTTTTTCAATATTAAAGAATGGGGAAAATCGTGGATTATATTCGAAAATTGAGCTTTTTCTGAAGAAATTCAGTGGTTTTTTTCTTCGTATTTTTGGTACAGAAAACGGTTTTTATACTAAGTTTTTACATAATCTTTTCTTCTTTTTATTGTTTCTTTGAAACCGGTGTTACTTATTTGATTAATTAATTGATCAAATTATTGCGCTTTTTGATTTTTTTAAATACAAAAAAAGCTCAAAACTCTAATTTTTTTAAATTAAGTCATTTCTAGTTTTTTTAACGTAGATTTTTTTGTGATTTTTTTCGGAACCATCATCATATGAAAAATTCACTGAAAAGATATTTTTTTACTCGATTTTTAGGCGAATTTTCCCAATCCTTCTCAAGTTTATAGTTATTTGCCCATTCTTCCATTCATTTTTTTGTTCTTCCTTTCAAATTTATGTGCATTTCTAATGCGCTTCTGACATCATCCCGAGCAATATTTGAGGCTTGGAAAAAAACTAGATTTTTCCTCATTTTTTTCGAAAGATTTTTAGATTTAGATTTAAAAAAATAGGTATTCTTATTTTTTTCAGATTTTTTTATTTTGATTTTTCTAAAAAAACTAGATTTTTCCTCATGTTTTTTTAGATTTTTTTAGATTTCAATTTTTTTGAAAAATCATTATTTCATTCCCAGATTTTTCTTAACGCGGCTTCTTCTCGTTGAAGTCTTGAAAAGAGCCTTGAAACTTGGAAAAACGCTTAAGAGATCCCTGGAAACGCTCAAGTGACCACTTGGACGAGCAATAGCTCACTATAAGGCGTGCTATTTTATCGTTCCGATGCTTCAATTGACGCGGCTTTTTTTTCTTGTGAGACCCTTGAAGGGACCACTTGGACTTGAGTAACAAATTCTACAAAATTTGTGACTTTTTTAAAATTTTTTCTCGTTCCAATGCTCCGAATGACGACGCTATTTCTTCATCCTAGACCCCTGAAGTGACCACTTGAGCCATTTTTTCCAGGATCAAAACGCATTCTTAGTTTTTTCTTGAATAGAATACTTAAGAGGCCACTTAAACTAGTAAATGTGGCTATTTATCCTTTTTCCTTTAATTTCCTCATTCCGATGCTCCTCTTGACGCGGCTATTTTTTCACAAAATTTTCCGAGGCTCTAATTTACGCGGCTTTTCCTTTTCGTTCAACCTCTGAAGTAACCACTTAAGAGATCACTGAAGTGCTTAAATGATCACTTGGACCAGCTTTAGTTCTCTACAAGACTTGCGTGCTTTTTTCATCATTCCGATACTCCACTTGACGCGGCTATTTTTTCACAAAATTTTCCGTCCCAAGGCTCCAATTTACGCGGCTTTTCCTCCTCGTTCGACCTCTGAAGTGACCACTTGAACTCGAACAACAAGGTGTTCAAAACTCTGAGAGCGAAATGGCCGTAGGACATGAGCTCAAAAACTTGTGGGCGGAGTCGAGCAGAAGCAAGCAGCAGCAGCAGCAGCAGAAGAAGAAGAAGAAGAAGCGGGAGCAGCAGCGGCCTTTCTGATATTGATTGGGTTGAGAGCGGGGAGAGAGTGCGCTCCGTCGCACTCACAAGTCAACTACGCGCAGTGTGAGCGTGAGCGTGAGCGTGACTTTGGCGAGCTCAGAGCAGCCGCCGCCGCCGCCGCCGACGACCGCCGTCTCCGGAACGATCGCTCCCCGGGATATACGTGTCCGCCTCCCACTCTTTCCCCCCTCCTCACTTCTCCACCCTCCGCTTCTGATCCTGCTCCAGCTCCAGGCAGGAGCTGTAGGAGGTTCTGGAGCTTTTCATTGGATTTGTTGTCTGGAAAGTCTTCTTCTGCTCGAGATTCTAGAGCTCTTCTTGATCTTTCTACTGTTTTTGATCGATCTCGTTCTCTAGATGGAGCTGGAGAAGGTCCTGGAGCTTTTCCATAGGCTTCTTGGTTTGAAAAGCATTTCCCCGCTTGTAATTCTGGAGCTCTTCTTTATCTTCCTACTGTTTTTGATCAATCTCAAGCTCTAGTCGGAGCTGGGTGGATCTAGCAGGAGCTGGAGAAGATCCTGGTGCTTTTCCTTGGATTTCATTGTCTGTTAAGTTCTTCTTTCACTTAGGATTCTTGATCTGGTGATATTCTGACTCATATCAATCTCGAGCTCTAGATGGAGCTGAACGAGTCTAGGAGGAGCTGTAGGAGATCCCGAAGCTTTTTCTTGGTAATTATGGTCTGAAACGTCTTCTTCTGCTCAAGATTCTGGAGCTCACTTTGATCCTGTTCTTTTTTTCGATCAAGCTCAAGCTCTAGTTGGATTCGAATGAATCTAGCAGGAGCTGTAGGAGATCCTGGAGCTTCTCCTTGGATTTGACTGTCTTGGAAAGTCTTCCGATACCTGAGATTCTCGAGCTCTTCTTAATCTTCCTACTTTTTTTGATCAACCTCATGTCCTATTTAGAGCTGGATGAGCCTAGCAGGAGCTGTAGGAGATCCTGTGGCTTTTTCTCGGCCGTGACGCTCTGAAAAAGTTCTACTGCTCTTTTTTGGATACTTTGAAGAGTTAGTTCAGCTTCAGCCTCGTTTCTGATCCTGCTCCAGCTCCAAGTAGAAGATCTAGGAAATCCTGAACGTTTTTTCTTGGGCTGAAAAGTCGGACTCTCGTGCTTCTACTTGTTTATGTAGATCGGAAAGTTATCTGAACTCGTAGAGCTTCTTTTTCTGATCATGCTCCAAGCAAAACCTGTAGAAGACTTTGGAGCTTGATTGGGCATTTCTTGAGCTTTTTCTTAAGCTTTTGCGATCCATCTCAAGCTCCAATGGGAGCTGGAGCTGTTCCTTGATCCATATGGCCGTTTTTTTTTTTCAAAAATTGTATATTTTAAAGCTTGAACGAACGTCTCTCAGCTTTTCCTCGGTTAGAGAGGTCTGCAATACTTTTCTGTGCTTCTATGGATGCTTTTGATACCGCTCCAGCTCCTGCTTGGAGCTGGAGGAGGTTATAGCTCTTCTTCTTAGTTTCTTAAGACTTGATGTACCTTTTTTGTAACTTCTAATTGATCCAGCTCCAAGCAGGAAAATTTTTTTTTGATTTTTTTTTTGGTCTTTTATTCGTTCCTGCTCTAGCTTCAGTTCGAGTTGGAGCTGGAGCTGAAGCTAATTGATCCAGCTCCAAGCAGGAAAATTTTTTTTTGATTTTTTTTGGTCTTTTATTTGTTCCTGCTCTAGCTTCAGTTCGAGTTGGAGCTGGAGCTGGAGCTCCTAATTTTGAATTTCTGATACTTGGTTTTTTTTAAGGTCTTCAATTGATCCTTGAAAACACCCTCTAATTGTTGGCTTTGAAAATTGCCTGTTGTGATGTTCTGATGTTTCAAATTTGCGGAGAATATTTTTTTACATAGTTGAAGCTTAAAATATCTGTTTTTCGGCTATATTTTTCAATTTTTGTATCCGTGATTTTTCACTAATTTGCTGCGTTTTTTAAAGATTTTAGGAATTGGTGGAACTTTTTATGGATTTTTGTAGTTTGGATAGGTTTTTGGTCCATTTTTCATAATTTCTTGAATCAAATGTAGATGTTCCCATACAGAGAGACTTTCATTGAAGATATATCTGCTTTTTTATTTTCTGTTTTCCAAGAGAAAATCATGTCCTGTTGTCTATATTTTTAACCCTCTACCGATTTTCAAAAAAAATTTTACTTGGCTGTTTTTTTAAATTTTCCCTATCAAAAGTAAAAAATTTTATATCAATCTAGCAAAATGTTCTTCCTATTTTGCCTAAAAAGGTTTTGTCGCATTTGGAATGGTTCGATTCGTTGCGGTCGCGCTGCGGTCCGCCCTTTTTTCCATGAAAGAGTCCGTTAACCATTCCAAATGCGGCCTTTTTCAAATTTCTGTTTTTCAAAGCTTCCTGTACGTTCTACAGCTTCACAATTCCGAAAAAACAGGATTTTCCCACGTTTTTGATATGTAAACCGTGTACCATGGGACCATTCCCATTTTTCTTTCTTTTATTTGTTTGCTCAACGTGCGACTTTCAAATGTCATTGATTGTGTGGAGAGAGGCGGATGTGAGTTTTTGGTTGGAAACGGACAAAAAAGGCGACTTTTGATGTTTCGAAATGAAACGTATATTTTTGGAATCGGCTTTTCAGTGCGCCTTTTTGATAGGAATTTGAGTTGAGATGAGTTTCTTAAGGGCTAAATTTTGATTTTTTTTTTAAATTTCTATAAAGATTTTGTTCTTGAGTTCATTTCAGAGCGATTTTTGAGCCATTTCAAGGTATTTTTCACTGATTTTTTTCGGAACTTTGTGCTTTTTTTAAAGGTTTTTAAGTCAACTTTCAAGCTCTCAAACTTGTTTTTTTGATCCATGACTCAATTTTCGAAATAAAAAAAGAAATTGTCAGTTTGTTGAGGATTTTTCTGATAAAAAAATTAAATTTAAAGTCCAGTAAAAAAATTTTTGAGTTTTTCTATGAACCCCTTTTTCATTAACTGAAAGTGAAAAAGTGAGCCAAATAACCGAATTTTTTTGCCTTTTTTTGCTATATTTTTTTCAGCTTCAAATTCAATTTTATAGTAGGAAAAGCTGATTCTTGAAGTTTCTAAGTCATTTTTGCGTTTGACGAAATTTCAAGCTTTTTTTGAGAGTTTCAAGCCATTTAAAAAAATTTTAATTTGATGAAATTTCGAAAAAAATTTTTTTGGAATTTTGAAAACATTTTTCGAGATTTTTTTCATAGAAAATTAAGCTTTATTTCAACATTTTTTTAATGAAAATGTGACCTCCAAAATTTTTTCCTCCATAAATTGGCCCATTTCAATAAAGAATTTGCGCTCCATCGCACTTTTCCTTTTTCCGTTTTTTCGTCATTTTTCTGTCGAAATTCCTTTTCTCCACCAATTTTAACAATTTCAGAACGACCAAGTGACCACTCCAGTGACCTCCTCTCTCTCTCGCAACACTAAAATGACCACTTAAAAAGGGCGAAAAAAAAAGAAACGAAAAAAAAAAAATTGCGGGCCGTTTGCATATCGAATGGCACAAAATGCTTGAGCCTCGCCGTGTTGAGTGTTCTCTAACCGTCTGGCCCTCCCTCTCCGCCCTCTCCGTTTCGCGTGCTCTCTCCGACTGTCGGCCCTTTTTCACCGACGCGTCTCATTGGAGACCCTCTCGTTTTGCCGCGCTCTCTCGCCCGCCTAGCCGCCGCCGAGCAATTTACATCTTTTTTTCTCCCTCGGCCCCCGGCCGCAAACGCCCCAGGCAACGCCGGTTTTTTTATTTTTATTTTTGTTTTGATTCGAATCAGAGTTGCGATTTTTCGATTATTGATTAAAGAGGACCGCGACGCGTTGGTGATGCGACGCGTTTTTTAAATTTTCCTATTATTGAGGTTTACCTTGCTTTCTTGTTTAGTAGGTATGGTTTCAACTCAAAAAAATATGAATATTTTCAAGTTTTTTTAATTTTTAAGTGACCGCGAAAAAAAAGAAAAAGAAAATTATGAAATTTTCGGATTTCCTCAAATTTTATTTTGACCGCGACGCGACGGTGATGCGTTGCGGTTTTTGAATTTTCTTATTTTGTAGATTTTTTCGACTTCAATTTGTGAGTTCATATGGTTATAACTGAAAATTAAGAAGTTTTCAAATTTTTCTCAAATTTTTTTGATGACCGCGACGCGTTGGTGCTGCGTCGCGGTTTTTAAAATTTTTTTCTTTGATCATTTCTTCCGATTTTTTTAGCTTCTAGTAGAAGATTTAGATAGAAAAAAACTGAGTAAAATCGAGATTTTTTTCAAAATTTATCTTTTTCTCAAAAACCGCGACGCGAAGCTTTTTGCGTTGAGGTTTTGAGGTTTTTAGCTTTTTCTTGATTTTTTTATTTTTTTCAGTGGGATTAGATGACTCGGATCAGTATTAATCACTTCATAACTTAAATTTTTGTTAAGAAATGAAAAAAAAAATGTTATGATAAATTTTCTGTAGGACAAGGGTCGATTTTTGAGCTTTTCTTTGCCAAAAATGTGTACTTGGGTTGATTTTCTTATCATTTTTGATGTTTTTTTTTGCTGAAATCTGTGTTTTTCTCTCATTTTCTAGAAGCGTTCAAGAAATTCCCCACATAAAATTCCACTAAAATCGCTTCCCAAACAGATTCCACCCCATAAAACAGCGCTTATCAGCAGCTTGATTATCATTTGACACTTTTATGGTTTGACTCGATTATCAAATGATTATCGATTGATTCGGCCCTGCTGGTTTTCGACGACCAAAATAGTCACTGAAGTCGATAAGAAGGGAGGAAAAGTGATAAGACGAGGAAAATGTGACAGAAATCGCCCACTTTCGGACATTGAACTATACGATTTCTTGTTGTTTTCTTGATTTTTCTTGGATTTTTTTGGTTTTTGAAGTTTTCTGACATGTTAGATGGCTTTTGACGAAGTTCGAAGATCAGAAAATCTTCAAAAAATCGAAAAAATCAAGAAAATTGACAAGAAAAACGCCTTTTTCCGATTTTATTTTTTTCCAAGTCTTTTTTTATCTGTTCATGTATATATTTTTCAAGTGTTTCAACGATTCTTAACGAATTTTTTTATAATTTTTCCAAGATCCTACTGAAGAAAAAAAGGTGGGAAAACTCAAATAAACGAAAAAAAATTCAACGAAAAAACGTTTCGTTTGAAATTTTAATGGAAGGGTTTCTGTACTTTTTCACTTTTTCGGAAATTTTTTCGATGAGAAATTTTGGATTTTGAAGCTCTAAATATCGAGAGAAGACTGGAAAATATAGAAAAAAATTAATAAAATTGAATAAAAAAATAAAGGGAAAGGTTCTGTCTTTTTCAATGGTTTTTTTAATGAATTTGTAATGGATTTTTAAATTTTTCATAATTTATCATTTTTTTATGATAAAGTAGAGTAGAATATAATGGTTTAGCAATGTCAAAAAAATTTCAAAATTCGAAAATTAAAAAAATTTGGAAAAAAATGAATGGGAAAATTGAGTTTTTAGTCATACGAATTATGCTAAATTCGAAGCTCATTTGGGAAAAAAATTTGAAAATCGGCTTTTTTGGCGCCAAAAAGATGTGCAGGTTTCCACATTTGACTCTTCGTAATGAAAAAAATCAAAACTTTCTAAAAAAACGAAAAACAATCACCTTGTGAAAATCTAATGTGTGGGCGGGTTCATAAAACACACTATTTTTATAATTTTCCACCTCCAAAACTTTCATTTTTACGCCCCCTTTCTCCACCTGCCTCGTAGAAAAAGACCAGGTGGAAATTTTTTCCAAAACATTTTTCATTTAAAAGAAAATTGTTTCGGGGCCCATATTATGTTTCCACACCCCTTTTTTCCTCTTCTGATGATTCCTTCGAAGACAATTTTTGTTTTGCTCCTTTTCTTTGTCCATTTTCGTCTTCTTTTATCGTCTTTTTGAGAAAAAATGGGAATAATACGGTGTGGGAGTGAAAGAAAAGGGAGAAAAAAAGTGGTTTTTTGATGGTCTTTTCGGTGGGTTTTTTGAACTTTTGAGGTTTTTTGAGATCACTTAAGTGGCCTTTTAAAATAATATACCATGTTTTCATGCCCAAAATGATGGGGAGGGATCCCGTTTTGCCCTGAAGCCCTTAAGAGATCACTAGGGAAGCTACTTCTACTTATAAACCCCTAAAGGGGCCACTAAGCGTTCTCTTTTTGCCTTCAGGCCCCTAAAAGGATCACTAGGAGTACTCCTTATTTCATTGTAGTCCCTAAAGTGATCACTGGAAATGACATTTTCCCCTTGAACGCCTGAAATGATCACTAGGAGCGCTCTTCCTGCCTTGAAACCACTAAAGTGGCAACTGGGAGGGCTCTTTCTTACTTGAATCCCCTAAAGTGATCACTAGGAGCGCTCTTCCTGCCTTGAAAACCCTAAAAGGACCACTAGGTGCGCTCTTTTTGCCTTGAAACCCCTGAAGTGATCATTTAGAGAGCTTCTTTTGCTTTGAAACCCCAAAAATGATCACTAGGCGTCCTCTTTTTGCCAAGAAATCCCTAGAATGATCACTAGGAGCGCTCTTTTAGCCTTGAAACCACTAAAGTGATCACTAGGAGGGTTATTTCTACTTTGAAGCCCCTAAAGTGATCACTAGGTGTCCTCCTTCATCGTTGAAACCTCTTAAGAGATCACTAGGAGTGCTCTTGTTCCCTTGAAACCCCTTAAGAGATCACTAGGAGCGCTCCCTTTTGCCTTGAAACCCCTAAAGTGGTAACTAGGGTTTCTATTTTCATCGTGAGATCACTAAAGAGATCACTAGACGGTCCCGGCTTTTCCTTGAAATCCCTAAAGTGATCTCTTTCTGACTTGGACCCCTAAAATGATCACTAGGAGTATTTTTTTTCCTCAATTTTCTCCAAAGCTTTGATATTTTTTCTTTCAAGTCTTCAAATTTTGCTGAGTTAGCCATAGAGCGCACAAGCCTCGATCTGTGGCGGCTATTTTTTCTCAACCGTTTTCTGAATTTTTTTTTCGTTTTTGATATTTTTCTTTAAAGTCTTCAGATTTGGCTCGATTAGCCATAGAGCGCAAAAGCTTCAATCTGTGACGGCTATTTTTTCTCAACCGTTTTCTGATTTTTTTTTTGTGCGCCGCGGCTATTTTTCCACTTTCTAGCCTGAATTTTGTTCTCTCGTGATCCACATTTTTTTTTTTTTGATAGATTTCTTAAAAAGTATTTTTTTTTTCTAGAAAGACCAAGGGGTACCAACGTCGTCGTCTTCGCCTCGGATAGAAGAAAAACCGAAAAAGAAAAAAAAACCGACGACCACTTTTCTACATCGTCGTTTCCTTGTGAGAAATTCGATCTTTCCTTCGTCTTGAAAAGGAAAATTTCCTTGAAAATGCGGCTCTTCTCGTCTTTTTTCCCCCGAGCCCTCTTGGGATCGTTTATGGGTTGTTGATTGTCCAAGTTTTTTTTTAAGCGGTTGATTTTTTGGAATTTCAGGCCATAGTCCATTTAGAGCTGTCTTGGAAAAGATATTTAAATGAGGCGGTTTTTTTGAAAATACGACATTTTTTCTACTTCTAGCTCATTAGTTACAAGATTTCTGTTAAATTTTCATTTTGAGCGGTTTTTATTCGGTATTTTGAGTGATAGTACATTTATAGCTGTCTTGAAAAAAATATTGAGAAAAAAATGCATTTTTTCAATTTTAAGTTCATTAATTAGTCAGTTATGAATGGATTTTTTTTTTTGAAATTCTTTGAGATTTTTCAAGATGTAGTCCATTTAGAGCTGTCTTGAAATGATTTGAAGGGTGATTTTTGGAAATTATGATTCATTTTTTTCACTTTTCTGTTCAATAATTAATTGATTTTCTATTTAAAACGGCTTATTTTGGGATATTTTTAATTATAGTCCGTTTAAAACTGCCTTCGAAAAAAAAAAAGATGAAAATTTTTTGAAAAGGAGGATTTTTGGTCACTTTAAGTGTATAATAATCTTATTTTTTGGGATCCTTGATTTTTTTTCATAGTTTATCTAGTGCTGAAAACTGTCCTAAAGGATTTTTTTTTGAGCTAGAGAGCGTAGAACTTGCAGAGAGGTCAGAGAAATAGAAATGCTCTCTTTCTCTGGCGTCTATTCAAACGCTTCGCTCTTTAGCTTCGAAGAAAATTTTTTTTTTTGTAAATTAAAGGGCATCTTCAGAAGTTTCTCTCAAAAGCTAGAGAAATTGAAACTAAGAGAGAGCACAGAGAAATGAGAAAATCCCTGCTTCTCTGAGGCCTCTTCGAAAATTGTGAACTATAAAAGAAGTTTTTCATGAAGGTAACGCAATATGGTCTACAGAATGTTTTTCCACAAAATTATCTTTTACTATAAATTTAAAACTTCAAAAAGATATATATTTTCCATAGAACTATATGTAGAAATGAAAACCACTCCATCCATCTTACTAAATTTTCAAAAAAGACTTCAGAGGCTTATTTTGAGCTTATTGTTCATTTTCACTATTTTTTGAGTCCGCTTGACTTCTTTTCAACTTCCAAGGGAGCTAGCCAAAAACAAAAAGCCGAGCAATCATTAACTATGAATGTTCCCAAGAGAAACCAAAAAGGCCGCATTTTAAAGAAAATAAAAGTGTTCGTTTTGAGGATTTTTAGTAGGACAGATCCAAATATTTGCGTTTTTGAGGGAAATATTTTAGTCCATTAACTGTTGCCTACGTTGAAAGCTCTAAAGTCCAGTTTTTTCTTTGAATCTAGGCAATTTTTAGAGATCATATTGTTTGAAGAGGCTCCAGAGAAGTAGGGAATTTTCCGTTTCTCTGGAGCCTCTTGAAGCTCCATGATCTCTAGTTTCTAAGAGGAACTGCTGAAGACATAATCAATTTAACGTAAAAAAGGCTGGAAGCTAGAGATTGAAGAGATTGAGGAGGGTCCAGAGAAGCAGGGAATTTTTTGTTTCTCTAGAGTCTCTTGAAGCTCCATGATCTTTAGTTTCTAAGAAAAAATGCTGAAGAGATCATCTATCGACCGTAAAAAGGTCCATTCTCTACTAGCTAGAGAGTGAAGAGATTGAGGAGGCTCCAGAGAGACAGAAAATATCTTCGTTTCTCTGGATTCTCTCAAAATTCCTTTTCTCTAGCTTCTATGAGTAACTGTTGACGATGCCATTCACTATTCATTGAAATCTCTTTCTGAAGGCTAGAGAGTGAAAAGAATAAAGAGACGCTAAGGAAGCAGAGAAATTCTGTTTCTCTGTACTCTCTCAAGGTTCTATGATCTCTAAACCTTAAGAAAATGTTTCTCGTAGTTTCTTACAGATCTATGTTCTTTAACTCCTTCTTTCTCGGAAGTTAGAGATAGTAGCCTTTGAAGAGAGTGCAGAGAACCAGAGAACTTGTTTTTCTCTAGCATCTCTCGAAGCTCCACACTCTCTAGCTTCTGGATTTTTTTACGTCATTTTTTTTTTTTGCTCTAAAAGTCTATAAACCGTAAATCACACATTAAAAACCAAGAACTGCACGATTCCGAGAAATTCTTTGTGTTTTTTGTACTTTTGGGTACAAAAAGAAGAGATTTATAGTCTGTCACGTGAGGAAAATTGTATTTTGCCAGTTACAGAAGCCCGAAAAGACCGTAAACGGCACAAAACGACACGATGGCTTCGACTTCCGCCGGCCAGAACAACGCGAAAGGTTTCTTTTTTGATGATTTATTGATTTTTTAGGAGAAGGATGAGAAAAAAATGATGAAAAATCGAAAATTTAAAGTTTTCTGATCATTTTGATACCAAAAATGTCGTATTTGGAAGTTGTACAATATCATTTTTTTATGGATTTAAAGGACATTTTTTGTAGAATTTTGATTTTTTTGATTTTTTCCATGAATAATCATATCGATTTTTCGCATTTTTATCGATTTTTTGCATTTTTATCGATTAATTTCTGGATTTTTATCGATTTTTCCAGAAAATACGGTCGCCACAACCGCACACCAACGCGACATGAAGCAGTTCACCGAGAGATTCGTTAAAAAGTTGGTTTTTTTTTCCAGAATTTTAAAGATTTTTGTGATAATTTTCATGTGGAAGAGTTGAATGGGGGTGGTTTTTCCAATTTTGAAATTTTTATAATTTTTTTCAAAAAAATCAGTTTCCATGAAAAAAATCGTGTTTTTTTCGGTTCAAATTTTAGTTATTCTGGGCCATTTCAATTTTTTTATATCACTTTCTGAGATTTTTTTCTAAAGTTCATAAGGAGTTTTTTTGGAATTTTCTATGCTTCAAAAGCCAAATTTCACAAGTTTTGAGGCACGGTAAAATATTTTTTTGAAATAATTTAAGAAAAGTCGGTTTTTTTGAAGCTTTTTCGGTCAATTATTGTACCATTCAAAAGCCGAAATTCCTTATTTTTCAGCTTCAAATTTTTCGAAAAAAAGACATTTTTCCAATTTTTCTCATGATTTCAACACGAAAAACCAGTTTCCATAGATCTTCCTTTGAAAAATTTGAAGGCCTAAAATTAATTTCTCCCCCTCAATTTGGCCTGAGCAACATAAAACAAGGTAAATTAGGCCTGAAAAAAGATGGAAAAGAGAGGGAGAAAATTAACCAAAAACGATGGAAAACCAATTGGCCGCCCGGCCACCCATCCATTTTCCTTGCTTCTTCTCTTTTTCCCCTGTTTTGGGGGCTTTCGAGGGATTCAAGGGGTTACGGTAGTGGCTTACTGTAGTTTGGTACTTTGAAGATCTTACGGTAGTGGGATATTGTAGTTTGGTACGGTAAAGGTGTTGGAAAAGCTATATTACGGTAGAATGGGGGAAAGAAACTGTCCCGACCTTCAGAAAAGCTTAAAGCTTTTTTTTTTGGAGGGTTTTAAAGGATTACGGTAGTGTCATACTGTAGTTTGATACGGTGATACGGTATAGATTTTTTTAAAAAGTTAGACTACAATAAAGTGGGTGAAGAAACTGTTTTCCCCTATTTTTGAGAAACTTGAAGCTTTTTTGAAGGTATTGAAGAAGGTTGCGGTATTGTCATACTGTAGTTTCATATTTTGAAAGTCTTACGGTACTGTGACACTGTAGTTTGGACCAGTAGAGATTGAAGAAAATTAGAATACGGTAAAATGGAGAAAGGAGAAATTCCCCGACTTCTAGGAAAGCTTACAGCTTGTTTAAAAGTATTGAAGAAGGTTACGGTAGTGTCATACTGTAGTTTAGGACGGTAGCGATTGAAAAAAAGCTAGAATACAGTAAAATGGACAAAGAAAAATGTTTCACGTTTTTGGAGAACTTTGAAGCTTTTTCGGAGGTTTGGAAGAAGGTTACGGTAGTTATCTACTGTAGTTTGATACGCTGAAGAAGAAAAAACTTAGGATACGGTATCATGAAGAAAATAAAGTCTTCACCGTATTTTTGAAGTTTTCAAGTAATTTTTTAGTTTCAGAAGGTTGCAAACATTTTGAAATAGAGTTTAAGCTGGATAAGGGTACGCTTACAGTACATTTAATTGCCCAAATGAAGCCAGCAGTAATCTATATATTACGGTAACTATACAGTAGAACTTTTATAAAGTCAATTTTTATGACCTTTCTAAGCGAAAAAGGCAACTTTTCTCAGTTTTTGAAGTAGAAATTTATATTTTCTCTCAGTTTTTACACTTACAGTACCCTCAGCTTACTGTAATATCTCTCCATCGGATTGATTTCCTCCGTATTTTAATGCAAATTACGGCGACCGACCGACAAGAACAAGAAGAGAGCCGCTTGGTGTTGGGGCTCGGCTCGAGCTCTCTCTACACCCTCCGCTTTCCCCACACTCTCTCCTCCATTTCTGCTTTTCTCTCGACTCCCAACACCAGGATCTCTCTATCGCCTCCTGCTCAACATATCCATTGTCAATGGGGCATTGAAAAGAAGAGACTAGGGAGAGATAACGCGAAAATCGGAGACCCAGAGAAAACGGAGGGAAAAGCTCTGTGAGTGTTTTTTAGTGAGCCGCCGAGGCGAGGAGCCTTTTTCCAAGAGAGAGGGTGGATGCCATTTTTGGGGATTTCGAAAGATAATTAGACCTTGTAATTGGTATTTTGGCCTGGATTTTGGGATTTTGGAAGATTATTTGGGCTTCAGGAAGGTAATGGAGATTGATGTTGGGTATTCCAATGGAATTGAAAATTTTTGGAGGGATCTTGGGATGATTTCTTCTTCCCAGGGAGGTTTAGCATCTTTTTAAGGATCCCAGAAGATATTTAGACGTTGTGATTGGTATTTTTAGCCGGATTTTGGGATTTTGGAAGATTATTTGGGCTTCGGGAAGGTAATGGAGCATGATATTGGGTTTTCTAGTGGAATTGAAGATTTTGAAGGGTTTTTGAGGGGTTTCAAAGGTTCTAATGGTTCAAGGAAAGTAAAGAAAAAATTGGAATGTTTGTAAGATGATTTTAAAGATTTTTCTTAATATACCCTAAGGTTGAATCAAAATTTAAAGGCGCATGCACACGGCTAAAAAATGAGTATCACCACGAAATTGAATGTTTTCTGCTATCTTGCTTTCTTAAGGTGTATCTGTAAGGAAAAGGCGGTACAATATGCTAGTTTTCCTTGAATATTTGTCAAATTTAAAGGCGCATAGACACGTCTTGAAATGGGTCTTTCCACGAAATTGGTAGTTCTCTGCTCTTTTCATTCTACTGAGAGTGAAATTGTGGAAAGAGAGGCATAATGACCCAAAAAATATAACGTTTTTGACTTTTTCGTTTGTTTTCAAACTTAAAGGCGCATAGACTTCTCTAAAAATGGGTCTTGCCACGAATTTGAAGATTTTCTGCTCCTTAGACTCTCTTGAAGTTAAACTTCAAGGAAAAAAAAGGCATGGGTTTCTTTATATGCTTTGAAGGCTTGTTGGCTTCTTTCCGGTTCAAAAACCAATTTAAAGGCGCATAGACCCCTCTAAAAATCAGTCTTGCAACGGAATGGGATGCTCTTTTGATTTCATTCAAGTCTGGGGTCAATCTGGAAATAATTTTTCCAAGCCGACGCGGTTGACCGCCGACGGACGGAAACACATGGAATCGGCTCAAAAACTCTCTCCTTTCACTCACCCCAGACACACACATAATCTCGTGTGTCGCGCTCTTCTTCGCACAAATGTGATTAGGGCTTCTCTCTCGCTGAGGCTCAGGACGAAGAAGAGAGACGGAATCGAGAAGAAGGAAAAAATTGGAATGCGAATGGGGCATCAACTAGGAGAAGTAGGAAAAATGGAACGAGCGATGACGTGCGGAAAAAAAAATAGCCGTGGTTGATTTTGTGCTACAGCGATGAGATGGTTGTGAAGAAACGGCCGCGGTTTATTTTTTAGAAGATTCTTCGCTCCGTTGAGAATGAGGCTGTGAAGAAATAGCCGTGGTTGATTTTGTGTTCCAAGGATAAGATGGTTGGGAACAAACGGCCGCGGTTGATTTTTTGGAGGTTTTTCGCTCCATTGAGAATGAGGCTGTGAAGAAATAGCCGTGGTGGATTTTGTGCTCCAAGGATAAGATGGTTGGGAACAAACGGCCGCGGTTGATTTTTTGGAGGTTTTTCGCTCCATTGAGAATGAGGCTGTGAAGAAATAGCCGTGGTGGATTTTGTGCTCCAAGGATAAGATGGTTGTGAAGAAACGGCTGCGGTTTATTTTCTCGAGGTTTTTCGCTCTAGTGAGATACAGACTGAAAAAATTGCCGTGGTTGATTTTTTAGAAGATTCTTTGCTCTGTTGAGAATGAGGCTGTGAAAAAATAGCCAAGATTTATTTTCTCGAGATTTTTCGCTCTAATGAGAAAGAGACTGCGAAAAAACAGAAATGATTGATTTTTTTTAGAAGATTATTTGCTCTATTGAGAAAAAAAGGCTATGAAGAAAGAGCCACGATTAATTTCTTTGAAGATTCTTCGCTCTAATAAGAAAAGAGGTTGTGAAGAAACAGCCACGATTTGTTTTCTTGAGGTTATTCGCTCTAATGAGAAAGAGATTGTGAAAAAACAGCCGCGGTTGATTTTTTGAAAGATTCTTCGCTCTATTGAGAAAAAAAAAGCTTGGGAAAAAACAGCCGTCATTGATTTTTTTTAAGAAGATTCTTTGCTGTATTGAGAAAAAAAAGGTGTGAAGAAATAGCCGTGGTCGATTTTTCAGAAGATTATTTGCTCTATTGAGAAAAAAAAGGCTGTGAAAACATTGTTTTTAAACTACCTTGCTCCATTGATAATTCTTCTACGAAATTAGCAAAATATAGCTCTTCCTTCCTAGGAACTCTCGCTCCATTGATAACGAAGTCTTTTTTCTCACATTTCCTTGTTTTAATCCCACAATTGCGTGTCGTATTTGTACACCCTTATCAATATCAATATCTCGAAAAGTGGAGCCAAAAGTGCAAGGAAACGAGGTTTCCATGGCGATTGATTGAATATCCAAACGGATATGTTTTAGGCCTCCCAAATCCCTCTCTTCCTGCTTTTCGCGCCCCACTATCAATGAGGGGGGTTGAAAAAATGAAAGAAAGATGGAAAATGGACGAAAAAAGGGCTTGAAAAGGGTCATTATTAGCCCCATTGAGGGACAAATTTTGAGATATTTTATTATAGCTTCCGAGTTTTGAAGTTATAATTATGATGGAGATAAAAAAAGAAGGAATTTCGTTATATATGTGATGACTCTTCCACATGAAAAAAAGTTCGTGAAGGTCGGATTTTTTTGAATTTTCAAATTATGTCATTTTTTTCGGCTCTAAAATCATGCATTTTAATTTTTTTAAAGTGAATAAACATTTTTGAATAAATGGTTGAAAAATAGGAAAAATTCATAATTTTGGCTTCATATGACTCATCCTAATGGGAAAAAGCTTACGAAAATCGGCTTTTTTTGGGAAATTTTTTTGCTATAAAATTTCGAATTTAAAAAAAGAAAAATCAAAGCAAGAAAAATTATAATTTTTTTGCTCGCCCTAGTGGTACAGTTTCCGGAAATAAGAGCCATTTTTTTCATCAAGTTTTTGCCATGTTTATTTTGAGCTTTTTCCTTACAATATTAGGTTTAAAAAAATCAATCTAGGACCTTTTTCAAAGATTTAGAAGCTTAATATGAAACTGAAAAAAACGACTCTTCCCCTTGAGACCTGTCCAAATTTCCCCATGCTCCTTTTAAAAAAATCAACCGATGAATTTTTTTAAATATATTTAGATGCTTACTATGACCCTGGAAAACGACTCTTCCCCTTGAGACCCTTCTACATCCCGCCCATGCTCCTTAAAAAAAAATTTAGCTCTTTCAACAAAATTCAAGAAGAAAATCCAACCTTTCCTCATTTTTTTTTTCGGCCAAATCCCCTTCCCACCACTGAAAACCAATTTCCCATGCAACAGGAAATGCATTAAAATCGCGGCAGTGTCGTTTCTTTTTTTTTTTGTTTTCCGCGGCGGACAAAATTTAAAATTCAAAAGAAATTTGTCACTCTCGTGAAATATATTCCCATGGAAAGAATTTTATGAATTTAGGGTTTTTAAACGGGGGAAATGGGATTTTTAAAGGTCTCGTGAAGAAGAGACACTTTTAGTGTTGTTTCAAGTGATGGAAAGCTTCTACGCTTCCGGAAATCCCAAAAAATATCTTTAAAATCGAGAAAGTAAAAAATAGTCGTGAGATAGAGTGTATTGTGCAACTGTTGTCAACGGTGCTCACGGCTAATCGGCTACCGTAATCTTCATAAATTTCAAAAATTTTTTTGGTCAGAATTTTTCAGTTTTTTATTAAAATTCTGATGTATCTTTCAAATTTCGAATGAAAGTTTAGATTGAAATAAATTTTTCTCGATTTTCAGGCGTGCAGTTTCCGATTTCGGAACGGTTAAATGTCGACCAGGTGTACGATCGGCGGACAGGAAAACCTCGACACGACGTCCTTCGGGATCACTTTATCAAGGTTGCTCTTTGTCACGTTTATGTCACGCATGTGATTTTTTGCGGAAAGTTACTTGAAAATGTATATAAAGCTCTTGCTTGATTTTGAACGCCTGATAGTTTCATCTAGAAAAAAAGCTTCATTTTTTGTTTACTTCTGGAACTTTCATGCGTTGCTTTAAGCATTAGGGGAGAGATCCGTAACCCCTTTAGGGGCCACTTAAATTTTCCCTCGGAAAGCTGCAAGAGTTATTCGTATAAACCGAAGAAGATAACTTTCTAGTTTTTTGGACCAATTTTCCACTTTCCTTGTTGTAAACCTCATTTTTTTAACGTTAATTTTCACTTAATTAGCATTATTTTTAATAGGATAATATTAACGAGATAAAATTTCTGCAGGAGGGTCGGATAGAAGAAGAGGCGGCGATCCGGATCATCCAGGAATGCTCGGCCCTCTTTCGACAGGAGAAGACGATGCTGGACATCGAGGCTCCCGTCACCGTCTGCGGAGACATCCACGGACAGTTCTACGACCTCATGAAGCTGTTCGAGGTTTGGAGGAGGCTTTGGAGTTGAAAATCATAAAAATACTAGGGCGGCCAATTTTGGGATTTATCCAAACAAAAGTTTTTTTTTTTGATAATTTCAAGTCTTCGAGAGAACTTTTTTTATGTGGAAAGAGAGTGTAGAGATAAAAAGGAGTATAATTTTTTTAGCTTAGGGAAATTTCTGGAAACATTTGAAATTGGAAAACTACTCAAAAAAACTAGGCGGAAAAAAATGGGAAATTCGCAAAAAAAGCTTTTATTTCAATTGATTGGAAGTAGTTGTTAGCCTCTAACAGAACTATTAACAAAGTAAAGAGAATGTAAATTAGAAAAATTAAAAAAAATTAAATTAAAAAAAGTAAATTGAAGTAAAAAAAGAAGTAAATTAAAAAAACGAGAAAATTGAGAGTTAGGGAAATTTTTCTAGGAAGCTTTAATCTGTAATGGTAGGAAACTACAAAGAAAATTGGCGAAAAAAAACTCAAAAAATCAATTTTCTGGCCTTTTTTGAATCAAAAACTGTATTTTGCTTGATTTGCAGAGAAAGAAAAACATAAAGAAGTTTAAAAGGTTAGGCAAAATTTTTAGGAAGCTTGAAAAAAATTGGAGTTGAATCACTATGGTACAAAAATAAGGTTTTTTTAATGATTTCTGTAAAAAAATTCTGTAATTTTTTTCGTCACGGTAATGATTATAGGTCGTTTTTTTGTTCTATTATCAATAATTATAGCGAAAAATTATAAAACTTGTTTTTAAAAATCGCATTTTTTTCGGCAAGAGGCGTACGAAATTGAGGCAAATTTAACAATTTTTTTAAAAAAATTTCGGGTAAATTTTAGAATTTTTTTAGAGGATCAGGAACGTTTTTCCGTTGCTTGGGGTGGATTTCATTCGAAAATTCGGTTTGAGAGAAAATTTGTAGTTTTTTTGAGTGGATTTTGGGGATTACTTAAAGATTTAAAAAATATTTTGAATCGAAGTGTTTAAAAAAAATCGATTAGAAAAATAATAATCAAAAAATTGACAGGTCGGCGGGTCACCGGCGACGACCAAGTACCTGTTCCTGGGCGACTACGTCGACCGGGGCTACTTCTCCATCGAATGCGTCCTCTACCTGTGGGCCTTGAAGATCTGCTACCCCAACACGTTGTTTCTGCTGCGCGGCAACCACGAATGCCGCCATCTCACCGAGTATTTCACCTTCAAGCAGGAGTGTTCGTTTTTCTTGTACTAAAAATCAAAAAAAAAAAATTATTCGAAAATAGTTTTCTATACAACTTTTGTACTAGATTTTGAAAATATTGTCAAATCACTTAAAATTTTTCAAAAAGATTACGCGGAACACGGCGTTTTTTTTTTGGCTCGCGCATATTTTTTCCGTAAAGTGTAGCGTGTCGTGTGCATACACCGCGGCGCTCTGGCACACGAGCGCGAACTGAAATTCAGTTATAGCTGATTCACGGTCAGCTTGGGACGCTAAAGGGGCGTGTCCTGTCTGCATTCTCCACGAGCCAGGCACTATCTCGTGCATTATCGTGTCAAGACCCTTTTTTCGATGGCTCAAGCCAGCCGTGATCAGTAATATATTTTTCATTATCTGGTGGCTATTTTGAATTTCGCGGAGTTACTTTACACACGCCATGTGTTTTAAAACAGAAAAATCGCGTTTTTTTCAATGAAAAATATATTCGTCTCGGGACCCATTGAATGCGCCTTTAATATTTCCTGTTTTTTACGCGTTTTTCCCATGACGTCAAATGGGAACGGTGGAGATTTTGACCAAGTCACTTTGTATGGTGGTGTTAGCTGCTTGGCATTCAAAACCTGAACAAACTTTATTAAAAAAAAAGAGAAAAGAAACTCAAATTTTGATAGGTATCTTGAAATTTCAGTGTGACGAGAAACCCCGCAAAAAATACGTTTCAAAGCGTCTTCAAAATTAAGACTTTCCAATAGAATCCATTCTTGTTGGCAATTTCTCAATACATCATCATTTATATTCACATTTTTAACATACGTGTGCCAGGTCACGTTTTAATAGTGACGTCATAGCGCAGAACCTTTTTCAAGCAAATCTTATCACTGACCGGTAAAATTTTAAAATGCGAATTTTTCGATCCGGTTTTTTTAGAGCTAACATATCGTTATATAAAAGCTAAAAAAGCATACCGGAGCTTTGTCTGATCACTTTGGGTCGAGTTTTAAAAAGTGTCTGAAAAATAGTTTTTTGTACAACTTTGATCCCAAAAACTGATGATGGTTTCAGTTTATTTTTGAAAATTTTGCCGAATCGTCATAAATTTTTCAAAGACCAATCTTTTACCACGGAAAGTGAGCTAGTAAAAATGTGTGCAAAAGTAGAAAAATCAAAAAAAATTACTTTGCTAGGTCAAAAATATACGAAAAATGGAAGAAAACTTGCAAAATTTTTTTCGTCGGTTCTACGTTTATTCCAGGACTAATACTATTCCAATTATTTTTAATCGATTCAATTTTTGAAAATTTTGAAGTTTTTCGATGGATTTATAAGTGCTTTTTGAACTTTCAGTTTGAAATTATCCTGTATTTTTGATCTTTTTCTATCTTTTTTAACTTTTTCAGGCAAGATAAAGTATTCGGAACGGGTTTACGACGTTTGTATGGAGTCTTTCGACGCCCTGCCGTTGGCCGCCTTGATGAACCAACAGTTTTTGTGCGTCCATGGCGGTCTGTCGCCCGAAATCCACACTTTGGAGGATATCAAGAAGGTTATTTTAACTTTTTTTTTTGTTTTAGAAATCATTTTCTGATTTTGGAAGCAGGAAATTAATGCCGTGTTCAAAGTAATTTCCGCTAAATGCGAAATGATCTCTGACTCTCCAAAATTTAGTGATCTTTTCCTTTCTCTAACGGGTATTTTGCATTTCGCGGAAATTACTTTGAACACGGCATAATGTCTATAGTTACCTATGAAGCATAGTTTTTTAAAGATTTACTTGTCTTTTTTGTTAAAAATAAATGTAGAAAAAATAGAAGAAACTTTTGAATTTTAGCAGTTTTCAGAATTTTCCTAAAATTGGCTTTATTTTGGCCGTTTTTTCATAGTATAGCACTTTTTTTCTGTAAGCTTATATGATCGAAGTTATTACGCAAAAAAAGCCAAAAAAATTTTTCGAAACGGATTTCTTCATGTTTTTTTGAACGGAAAAGTTTTTGGAATTCCAATTTTTTTCTGAATTTTACATTTTATTTGATCTTCAATGGATTCTTCTTATCTTTTTAGGAGGAAATAATCGAGAAAATAAGAAGTTTAGAAGTTGAAATTGATAGAAAAATTCCAGTTGGAGCGAATTTTTTTGGACTTTTTTTGAACTGAAAAAGCTTTTTGAACTTGAGTTTTTTTACACCTTTTTCTGTGATATTTGATTTCAGAATACTCCTTTTTTTAACTTTAGGAACAAAGTAATTGAAGAAAAGATTGTTTTTTTCAAGATGAAATCAATGGAAAAATGGATTAAAAGCTGGTAATTATCTATTTTTCCTATATTTTTTTGTTTCATTCGATTTATGATGAGTCATTTTTTATTTTTTGTTTGAGCTTCTTGAACTGAAAAGCTTCGGAAATTCAAATTTTCAAATTCATCTGGCTTCAGATTGCTACTTTTTGAACATTAGGGACAAAATAATTGGGGAAATGATGATTCAATGGAAAATTTGCTTTAAAAGCCTCTGAAATTGATATTTTCCTAAATTTTAAAAATTCCATTCGGTTTTCCATGGATTCTTTTTCGATTCAGGGATGGAATAACCGAAGGAATATAAAGTTAGTAAGATGAGATTGATGAAAACTCGATTAAAAGCTGTTGAACTCTAAATTTTCCTAAAATTTTTTGTTTCATCTGATTTATGATGAGTCATTTTTTATTTTTGTGACAAAGTATTTGAAGAAATGATAGTTTTCGAAGGTGAAAACAATGGAAAACGTTGCAGCTGGACCGGTTCAAAGAGCCGCCGGCGTTCGGGCCAATGTGCGACCTTCTCTGGTCGGATCCTCTCGAGGACTTTGGCAACGAACGAAATTCGGAGCAGTTCAGCCACAACAGCGTCCGCGGGTGTTCATATTTTTATAGGTACTGTAGGAATTGTTCAATCTAAATAAATAAATAAATTTCAGTTATGCGGCGTGCTGCGATTTCCTGCAGCACAACAATTTGTTGTCAATTATTCGCGCTCACGAGGCGCAAGATGCCGGGTTCGTTCATTATTCATTCAGGTAATCAAGGTGTTTCCAGGTATCGGATGTACCGAAAATCGCAAGCCACTGGCTTCCCGTCGCTGATCACCATTTTCAGCGCCCCAAATTATCTCGATGTATATAATAATAAAGGTAAAAATTGAGAAAGTGAGAAAAAAAATCACTTCAGAGTGGTCCCTTTAGGGGTGAGAAACTTCAGGGTGGTCCCTATAGGGGTGAGGAACTTCAGAGTGGTCCCTATAGGGGTGAACTTAGGGCCCTTGGAGAGTCTTCTCTAGGCACCACTTAACCCCTTAAAGGTTCCCCTCTAGGGAGCACTTAAGCAACCCTATAGGGTCCACTAAACCTTGCAAAAGTGGTCCCTAGAGGGGTATTAGTTAGTGGCCCCATAGAGGACACGCTAGTCGGTAGTTTCGATTTTCTAAGGAACTCTAGAGCGGTCCCTATAGGGGCAACCTTAGGGTTCCATCGAGGGACCACGTTACCCCTTGAAGGTTCCCCCTCTAGGGACCACTTTACCAACCCCTATAGGGCCCACTAAAGCTTGCAAAAGTGGTCCCTATAGGGGCAACCTTAAGGGCCCTTGGAGGGTTCCCCTCTAGAGACCACTTTACCAACCCCTAAAGGGGCCACTAAAGCCTGAAAAAGTGGCCCCTATAGGTGTTTGACTAAGTGGTTGAACGAAAAATATCAACAAAGGGGTTTTCGTTTTTTTAATTCTGACACCTGAACAAAATTAAGAACCCTATAGGGGCCACTTAAGGTTTTCCTAGAGGGATCACTCTAGGGGCTTACACGGTAAAAAGCTACAGTACCTGTTTTGGTAGAAATACTGTAGCCACAAAGACGCTACTTAACATTCAAGTTCTGACTTTTGAAGGTATCGAAGCGAAAGATACTGTAGCCACAAAGGCGCTGCTTAATATCTAAAACCAGACTACAGAAATTTTCGGAAATTTGCAGCTGCGATACTGAAATACGAGAACAATGTGATGAACATCCGGCAGTTCAACTGCAGCCCTCATCCTTATTGGCTTCCCAACTTCATGGACGTCTTCACCTGGTCTTTACCTTTTGTTGGCGAGAAAGGTATAGCATCAAAAATCAGGATTTTCTTTCGTCACTCGCTTAAAAGTGTACTAGAAACATTTCCTCGGCGCTTAAAAAAAATTCATTCTAACTGAATTTATAAATTCAGCCACAGGAAATAGGCTTGAAGGATATATACGGACTTTACAGAGCCGCCATGAAAAACGGAGAAAGTTTTCGCTTGAAATAGTGTGGGAAAGTTAGAGACGACGGAGTTTGTTTCATCCCTGCGTCTCTCTTTTCCCTACACTCTCTAGCCCTTTCCACAAATTTGAACTGAGATTTTTATTCACTGCCAATTGCAGAAAAAGGGTGCAAAATGGCCGCTAAAAGGGTTCCGTTTTGAGGCCTTTATGTAGCCTTTTTTCTTGGTGGGCTAACAAGCCTGGAAAAGGGTGCGAAATGGCCGCTAAAAAGGTTCCGTTTCGAGGCCTTTATAGAGCCTTTTTTGGTTGGCTGAAAAGGCTCGAAAAGGGTGCAAAAAGGGTGCAAAATGGCCGTAAAAAGGGTTCCGTTTTGAGGCCTTTGTAGAGCCTTTTTTGGTGGGCTGAAAAGGCTCGAAAAGGGTGCAAAATGGCCGTAAAAAGGGTTCCGTTTAGGGACAATTTATGGACACCTTTTGATCCATAAAGGGCCTGTAAAGAGTCCTTTTGACTTTGCCTATGATAGATGATAATAATAGATCAATATGACCGCACTTTACAGATTTTCCTTTTCCTCAACTTTCAGAAAAGAGCTTTTTGCAGTAACGGAAATGTTGGTACACATCTTGAATATTTGCTCCGACGACGAACTGATGGCCGAGTGCGACGACACCTTCGAAGGTTCGTTCCGAACGCTTTTTCTCGTTTTCTGACCATGTCCCTTTAAAATCAAAGAAAAATTCTACAAAAAAATAACTCCTTAAGTATCACCACGCATGGATGTATGTGTAGAGGACTTTCAAAAAATCAAACTTCAAAAAAAATGCTTGTTTTTCTCTCTCTACAAACTCTCTCGATTTGTTAGCGTCACTAGTGGGAAATTCTCCTCTTTCTCTCTCTTTCTCTCTCTCTCTCTATTTCTCTCTCTTTCTCTCACTATTTCTATTTTTTCTTTAAGTGTTGTGTCCCTAAAAGTGGCTTGTTAAGAAAGATTTCTCAAACATTTGTAGACCAAAAAGAACCAAAATTGCCGAGAAAGAGTGAGGGAAAAGAGGAGAGATTAGAGATCGATACGATTTTTCGGCGATTTCGGACCTTTTTTGGCCGGATTTTTTGGATTACTGGAGTTTAAATTCTGTAAAAGGACGTCATGGTGTCATTACGGACTTTTCGGATACCGTAACCTTTAAAATGAAGATTTGACTCAAAGTTTGATTTAAAAAATTGCAGATGAAGTCCGCAGAGAATTTTTATCTCTGCGTCTCTATATTTCCCACACTCTCTAGTATTTTTGAACGATCTTTTCACAAAGTTTTCCTACAAGTTTAGACAGAAATCGGAGCATTAAAAAATACACCATGACGTCATTTTGCGAACTTTGGGACTACAGTAATCTCAAAATTATTCCAAAAAACTCTTCAAAAGCATGAAAAATTATTTGAATATTTTTTTTCTTTCAATACTAATTACATGTGTACGTTTCTGTCCAATATGAAAAAATTTAACTTTTACCTTTGTTTTTTAAAGTCTAGTGGTCACTTAAGGGAAACAAGTGATTTTTATTTACTCCTTTGTTAGAAATTTGTATGAATTGGGTACCAAAAAACTAGGTAAAAAAACCTCAAGAATTATGGAAAGTTTGCTCTATCGATAAAATCGGGTTTTCACTCGAAAAATGTGCAGGAAAGACTTCAAAAAAAGTGTTATTGATTGATTTATTGATTGATTTTTCTTCACTGGCTTGACACGAACCTAATTTGAATGAGGTTGATTGATTTGAACTGATTTGATTGGATTCTTACAAAATTTTATGTTTTTTCTCGAGGAAACCTTAGAGTGGTTTGATGTGTATTTTGAAGAAAATTTGACAAAAAGAAGCGTGGATTTTTATAAAAAATGGTCGCGTTTTGAATGGCTCCATGTTTAGAGTTTGCGCCGGACTTGAAACGGTTTCCGCGTGAAGAATTTTTTCTAAAAAAATTTGAGAAAAAAAGTTGAGCAAAGTTTTTCCAGTCAAGCTTGGTTAACTGGGATAATTTTTTTGATTCCTCCCGAATACGGTAAGCCATTCCAAATGCGACCCTGTTTCAATTCGGGACATTCAAAGTTTTGAAAATAAAAAACTAACTTATAATCAATTTTTTTTTTCTCAGGAAGCGACGGTAAGTGCCAGAAAAAAGAGCATAGAGAAAACGGGACCGTATGTTTTTCTTTGGTTTTTTAGAAACCGCTTTTTTATTTTTTCTTTTCATTTTACTTTTTTTTTTAAACCTTCAAAAAAAAAGAATAGTTTTCAACTTGACCTTTTTTTTTAGTTTTTCACAAATTTTTTTCTGTTACCTTTTTTTCGGATCTTTTGCGTGTGGCTTTTTTGATTTGCTTCAAATTAACCCCTTGGAAAAAACAAATGCTGCCGAGTATGTGCTTTTGCGTGTTGGTGTGCTGCTGCTGATTGGCTACCGTAATCTGTTCGTTTTTTTTTTTCGGCTTGCTTTCGCTTTCTTCTTTTTTTCATGCATGATCTTGAACTTTCCCGGCTTTTTTGAGAGGGATTTTCTGGTGGCTACAGTAATCTTCATAGGGTTACTGTATGCAATACTGTAGCTACAGTAATTTGAAAGGTTACTGTAGGCATTGAGTATAATAATTTGTAATTTTAGTCCTGAAAAATGAGAAATGTCTTTTTTTCAACTTTGCGTAAAAATTTAGTGAAATATTAGATACAGTATTTGATTAAAAACTACAGTAGTCTCTGAAAAAAAGCATCAATTTTAACCGTAATCCTAGACTTTTAGAATTTTAGAATTTATCAGCTTTTTTAAAGCTTTTTCGTAGATTTTTTTTATCTCAAATACTTTCAATTTTTGAAAATTTGCGCGATTGGAAATACTTTTTGAGCTAAAAAAAAATCGAAATGAACCGAAAAAATCTAAAAATTTTTTTTTCATCGCTGGTGTGACATAAATACATATAAAAAGTGATTCTAGTCTTTATTCTTTTTTAATTTTTCCCAGTTCCATAGGAATCGATTTTCTCAAAAAATCGCCACAATCGGAACCATCTGACCTGTCTGCGCCCTCTTTTCTCTAACCTCCGGTGAGAGAGAAGAGAGCGCAGACAAGTCAGAAAATCGGAATGAAAACCGATTCCAATGGAATTCTCATCATTATGATTATTATTTTTCATTTTTATTTTTGAGACGCTTTTTTCTTTGCCATTTAATTCAGTGAACCTTTTTGGGAGATGGTGGTTATTAGACATATTAATTGGATGATTAATTAATTAATTAGAGTTTTTTCAATTTTCAGGAGGAGTCCCGTCGGCCCGGAAAGAAGTCATTCGCCACAAAATTCGCGCCATCGGCAAAATGGCCCGCGCTTTCAGCGTTTTACGGTTGGTTTTTTTGATGATTTTTTGAAGATTTCAGTGTTTTTTGAAGTGTTTTTGTATGCGCAAGATTGGTCAGAAAATCCGAAAATCAATAAAATAACATTTTTATGCTTTTTCATACAAAAATCGTCATTTTTTGAGTTTTTTCAATTCTTCTAGAGCGTTTGAAAAGCTTTTATTTCTTGCAAAAAAATAATCTCTTGAGAGAAACCGAACCCACGACCTTTTTAGCCATAATTTGAGCTCTTAGCCACTTTACCATAGATCCCAGCTTCTTACAGGATTTTGTAGTATACTCATTTGTGTAGCCATTGAGAGAAAGTTCAGTTTTCAGAAAATGAAAAATGGCAAAAAACTTTTAGTCCTCAGGAGGATCCGAACCCGCAACCCTTTGAGTCATATTTTGAGCTTTTAGCCACTTGACCATAGATACAAGCTCTCAACAGGATTTTGTAGTATACTCATTTGTGTAGCCTTTGTGAGAAAGTTCAGTTTTTGGAAAATAAAAATGGCAAAAAGTTCTTTTCTTGAGAGGTTTTGAACCCGTGACCCTTTGAGTCATAGACTAAGTTTTTAGCAGAGCAATTATCAATTTTTAAGAACTTTTTAGCAATGTCATGGGAGTTATTTTGAGCCAAGTTCAAATTTCAAATTTCTGTTCAAATTTCTGACCAATCTAGTGCAACCTTGATTTTTTTTTTTGAAATTTCGATTTATTACCATTTTGAGTGACATTTCAACAGAGTTTTCCATGTTGAGTAATCTGATTTTCAATGTTCTAAACTATTGAAAAATTAAAAAAAAAAGTTTCCTTATAGTCTTTACACTATAAGGAAAAGTGCTTTTAACAATTCGCCTAGAAATTTTGACCTTATATGAATGAACGCATGTGTGCTCCATTGAGAAAGTCCTTCAAGATAATCGGACCTTGGTAACTGGAGACGGACGCGTACCGGACGCTCTAGGGGTCACTTAAGAGTGCTGACGCCACTAAAGTGATCACTATAGTTTCTCAGAAACGTCTGGTTTACGTTATTAAGATCCGAAAATTCAGAAATTTTTTGGATTTTTTCACGGAGCGCATATGTATTTGGGATACTTGGGTGAAAGCCTATTTTTTTTTGAGGAAAATTCAAATTTTTATGACATTTATCTAATACTCAGGCTCAATTTCATTACAATCATTTTCTTTTCGAACCAATTTCGTTGAAAATAACGATTTTTGCTCTAAATTTGAATTGCTAGAAGCTAATCCATTCATGTCGGAGTGTGGCTGTTTTTTCAGCGAGGAGAGCGAAAGTGTCCTGGCGCTGAAAGGTTTGACGCCGACGGGAGCCTTGCCGGTCGGAGCCCTTCAAGAAGGCGTCCGAGGCGTTCGCGAAGGTCAGTTTCTTCGGTAATCGCCAAAAAACGCGTCGCAGATGGGGAAGGGTTTGCTGAAGGTGTCCATGACTTGTTCCGTTTTTTTTGTCTTTTTCGCGATATCGCGTCATTTAGACGGTCTGTCTCGTGTTACTTTTCGGATTTGCGATATCGTCTGGTTTTCGCCTCACGAATGAGATACTGACTCGTGTTATCATGTCTTTTTCGCGATATCGCACGAGTATGACGCGTTTTCTGCTCTTTCGCGATATCGCCCGGCTCTCGCTGCTTCAAGATTTTGACAGTGCCTCGTGTCATCATGTCCTTTTCGCGATATCGCTCGAGTTAGATAATGCGATCCGTTTTGTCCTTTTGCGATATCGCTCGATTTAGACAGTCTGGCCCGTTTTTTGGCCTTTCGCGATATCGTTCGGTTTTCGCCGCCTCCAGGTTTTGATAGTGACTTGGATTATTATGTCCTTTTCGCGATATCGCTAGTGTTAGACAGTCTGGCTCGTTTTTTGTCCTTTTTGCGATATCATATAGATATTCTGACTTGTCTGCCCTCCCTTCCCTCTTGCAGGCGATAGAGAAGAGAGCGCAGACGGGTCAGAGCACATAAATGGCGCCCTTTTTTGTCTGCGCTTTCTTCTCATTATTGTTGTTGAGAGAGAAGAGAGCGCAGGTTGGTCATATCAAAAAGAGGAAAAAATTGTCTTTGTCCTATTTCGTCCCATTTTGCGATTGCGATTGGATTGAACTCATCACGACTGGATGGATTGGAGTGACTCACCATTTTTGTCCTCTTGGAATATTTCTCTTGACGAGGTCGATACAGACATGAGAGCGAGACTGTCGTGCAGCTGAAGGGCCTCAATCCGTGTGGAAAACTTCCCCAAGGCCTTCTGGCCGGCGGAAGAGCCGCCGTCGTCGAGAGTATGTTGGATTTTTTGGGCTCCCTTGAAAGTTTTATCAAGTTTCACCTGTCCTACAAAATGGCTTGAAAAGGAAGCTACTCAAAAAAAAAAATCACCATCAGGAAGCTTGAAGTTGACACAGTCTGACCTGTCTGCGCCCTCTTCTCTATCATCGAGAGGGTCATAGAAAAGGGGAAATAGCTTGTAAAGCAAGAGAGCGCAGAGAAGTCCTAGGATGTTTTTTTTTACTTCACTCTATGTCACTAGCAAGGTTAATTGATTACCAAAGAACTGAGCCATTCCAAAAGCGGTCAGTTTTTCATCTTATCCAATAATGCCATATTGAAGGTATGTTTCTTGAAAATCAAGTCATGGTAACATCAGCGAGACCCTTTCTATTTGCAACGCGGGAAACACATATTGCTCATGTTAACTCATAATAACAAATTTTCAGCGCTCTCCGGCGTTCAGCCAGGTCACCAGATCCAGTCGTTCGAGGAAGCGAAACGACTCGACCAGATGAACGAGCGAATGCCGCCGACTATGGCGACGCCGCCCGGACAGTCGCCGTCGCAGTCGCCGCTGCCGTCGCGTCAGACGACGCCACAGCCGCCCAAGAACGGGCCGTCCTCCTAGTCGCGCCGACGACGCCTTCAGTCGCTTCCAAATCGCCCCGCCCCCCTTCTATTTCTCTCTTCTTTCTCTGCGTCTTCTCACGGTTCTGTGTTGATTGTACTTTCTTTCTTTGGGAGGGCCTTTTTTCGAGGGTTTCTTGATGACGTCATGATTTTTGAAAAATGACGTCATTTAGTTAAGAAAGAGCGTGAATTTTGACGTCATTTTTGATTTTTTGACATCATTTTTACGCCATTCGCTTTCAAGACTTGAAAATGAATTTTATGACGTCATGACGTTTACAAAATGACGTCACCGCCAATTTTTTCTGGACTTTTGAGAGAGAAATGAATTATGACGTCATTTATTCTCATTTCTTCGGGAAAATTGGCACGAAATCCTTATGACGTCATAGATATATTAACAATGAGGTCAGTTTTTATTTTACCTGCTTAATGACGTCATGAAATCAGGTGTTTGTTTTCAATAATTACGTCATATTTGGCTTCAAAATGACGTGAGGTCTTCTCAAGCTTCATGACGTCATAATTGAAGCTTTGGTGACGTCAGAATCCTTGAAAATCGCCAAAATTCGGTTTCTTTTTTCTTCTTCCTTTCCGAAATGAGCCCAGTTAAGCCCTGTGTTTTTCTTCATTTTTTTTTTATTTTTTCTTCATTTTTTGCGCGACTGTGACAATGTTTTTCCCTCTGTTGTTTTTTTTGTCTCAAATAATCCCAGCTAGAACTTTTTTCCTTGTTTTTTACCCTGTAGAGGCCACCCGAAGAGTCGGAATTTCTATACAAATACATGAGATTTTCGCAAAAAATACGCTGATTGGCCCTGATTTTCGCTTGAATTCTCGAAATTCGATATATTATTAGGTACCTGGAACCTAACCGCTTGTCCTAGTCCTAGCCACGCCCCCATTTGTCCCACTAGTCCATTCACCTAGGTCTTATTATCATTATTTTCCTGACTTATTCGCGCGATTTAATGCACAACTTATCATGTCGATTACGCTGAATGCTGTTCTTTCCAATTTTCATTCATTTTTTGTTCTTTTTGATCTTTTCACCCTCTTCTCAAGCCCAGAAAAAAAAATTACAAAAAAAATTCTACAGAACATAAAAAATCCCCCTTTTTATACATACACACACAAGCACGTGTTCCAAAAAATCTTTATTCTATATCCTTTTTTTTTAAATTTTCATCATTTTTATCCATTTCTATTGCTACAACAACACACAAAAAAAGCACACACACACCGCAACTTTTTCTTTTTCATAAAATTTTAATTATTTATATTATTATTATTGATTTTGAATTCATGTATAAATGAAGCTACGCGCCATTGTTTTGAGGCACGAAAAAATGGGATTTTTCCGGCTCGACAACAAAAATATCGGCTTTCCGTAGCAAACAAAGCAGTTTTCTTTTTTATGGGGTACAGCTCGGAACTTCGAAAAATCATAACCTGCCGAGCTGTTCGTTTTTTCTATTCCTCGTTTTTGCTTCTTATTCTTTTCGCAAAAGTACCTTTGAAAATAGCAAAAATTATATATTTCTATGGGATCCGATCCTGTGACCTTTCAAGAGAACGACTGTTGTCTAACCCACTGAGCCAGATGAATTTTCTTTTTTTTTCAAATCTTCAAGCCGCTCATTTCTAGATAGTACCCATAAATTGACTGAATATCTGATAACTCATCAAATCATCGAGATGTAAGCTGAGGTGAGTCTGAAGTTTCTAGGTGAAGCTCATTCAGAAGATGATGTATATCATTAGAAAGCTTACAACACGACAAATCGAATGATATGATCAGATAAGCTGTAACTGCCCTAGGAGCCGAGATATAGGCGTTTGAAGAACACGATTAAAATTTCAATAGGCGTCAGATAAAATGCATTCGGTGGGCTGCACCGCGGTGTACTTTTCTGACGAAAAAGCAGAAGCTTAAAAAAAAGTTCGATTTTTTCAGACTTTTTCTAGTGTAATTGATAGAGCAGCTTCTATATAGTATTGTTATCATGTCAGTTAAAAGGAAAAGCTCGAAAACTGGGTGAAAAATGGGTCCGAAAAGTCGTATTTTTCAGATTTTGACGCTTCATAACTTTGTTCATTTTGAAGTTTAACAGAAATTGAGTACATCAATCAATTTGTCTCATTATGAGCTTTCTAATGACCTTAGTCTTCAAGAGTTTCGAGCACTTTCGAGAAAATTGGCCAACTTTGAAGAATCATAACTTTTTTTCTAGGCACCCAAGAACATTTTGATTTAGTTTTTCAGGTTTCTGACGTCATTTCCTATCGATTGATGTAAAAATCTGGGAAACTTTGGTTTCCGGGAAAATCGAAAAAAAGTACAGTCTATATAACATTAGGTTTTTTTCGAGCTTCTGAGGTCATCGAAGCCGATTTGGACGAAACCTTTATCAATCGATAGATCTGGGCGATAAAATAACCGGAAGCCAGGTTTGACCTCTGTAGGTCAACTAGGAACTTAGTTATAGCCGATCAAACTTAGAGGTCGAAAATTGGAAAGTAGGTCAATTTTGGTATAAATCGATAGAGGAGATCAAGGAGGTCAGGAAAAAGTAGTTCAATCAATCAATATTTATTGGTTGTTTTAGTCAGATGGTATCGACTAGGCGGTGAAAAAATTGCTCTTTTGAGCGGCACTAACACCGCCTTTGGCGAAAAAGAAGTCAAAGCGTGTAGTCGAATGATTTGAAAGCATGGTCTTACGGTCCTTCGCCTCGTTCTTCCACAAGTAGATCCCTCAGTTTTGCGGGTACGGGCACGGCGGGGATGGTAGGGCTCGGGCACGGACGCCGTGTACACTCTAGGGTAGCCTCGGCCGACTGAGAGAGCTACCACTTAGAGTGAAGAAAATACACGGAATGAAGAAAATACACGGAATGAGAATCTCTAAGTTTCTAGGTTATTAGAAACCGAGTTATGAATAATAATACACTTCAAAAAATCATAACTTTTCCCCTAGGCGCCTAAGAACTTTTTGACCTAATTTTTCAGACGTCTGACGTCATTCCCTATCGATTGATGTAAAAATCTGGAAAACTTTGGTTTTCAGGAAAATCGAAAAAAAGTACAGTCTAACCCCTTACGTTTTTTCGAGCTTCTGAGGTCATGGAAGCCGATTTGGATGAAACCTATATCAATCGATAGATCTCGTCGAGAAAATAACCTGAAGCCAGGTTTGACCTCCGTAGGTCAACTAGGAACTAAGTTAGAGGCGATCAAACTTAGAGGTAGAAAATTGGAATGTAGGTCGAAATTAGTATCAATCGATAGAGGAGATCACAAGGATTAATAAAAACTAGGTCTCTAAGTTCCTGACCTCCTAGAAGTCGAGTTATGAATTTTCGAAGAGTCAAAAACGACTAAATTTGAGAGGTTATAATTTTTTTTTCTGTAAAGCTAGAAAATATTTTCCCTCAATATTTTCAAACTCAGCGAGTGATCTTACGTCAAGCTGCTGTATTTTTTCACCAAAATCGAGTTTGATACCGAAATTCGAGCTTCCGGATACATTTGAACAATTTCAAGACTTATATCACTGGAAAGCTTAAAACAAGAAAAATCGAATGATATAATCAGATAAGCGGTAACTGCTCTGAGAGCCGAGATATAAGCGTTTGAAGCTCACGATTAAAATCTCGATAGGCGTCAGATAAAATGCATTCGGTGGGCTGCACCACGGTGTACTTTTCTGGCGAAACAAGAAAAGCTCAAAAAAAAGTTCGCTTTTTCCAAGTTTTTTCTAGTGTAATCGATAGAGCAGCTTTCATATAGTACTGTTATCATATCAGATAAGAGGAAGAAGCTCGAAAACTGGGTGAAATTTGGGTCTGAAAAAGTATATTTTCCAGACTTCAGGGCTTCATAGCTTTGTTCATTTCGAAGATACGGAAGAACTGATTATATCGATCGATTTGTCTTGTTGTCAGCTTTCCAATGATATATGTTTCCAAGAGGTTCCGTCAACCTGGATGACGTCATAGATAGATGCAGCTTACATATCAGCTTTTCCTATACACAAGTTGAATTTATTATCAATCGGTAGAGCTCATCGCGCAACTTTCCAAGAACATTCAACACTCATTTATCAACAGCAACAACAGAATTAAAATGTTCAAGCTGAAACCGTCATATTTCTAAGCCTCGAAAAATATTTAGCACATTTCAAGCTCAAATTTTGTCTTATCAAAATGACCTTTTCTGTTGCGTGATCATGCCCTAAACTCATTTTACGAATGTAATAAAACGAAGTAAAAATTACAGCTAGATTCAATTTTAAATTTCACTGCGCGTGTAGAAAATTCTTGAGTACTATCTTCCTTTTCATTTTTTTTTTTGCAAAAATTTTCAATTTCGATGGAAAATTCGTCATCTTATTTCCAATTTGACGGTTCAGAAAGTTTTCAAGACGTTGAGAAGAAGTTCCGAGACGAGACGGCTCCGAAGAAAGGAGACGAGTTTGCTGATAGCTCTTCTTCCGTTTTTGTCCTTATTTTCATTTGGACATTTTTTTTGATAAGTGCATTTATTTGAAATCGAACTTGAAAAAACATTTTATAAAAGAAAAGCAAGCAAATACACAGGCTTAACGACTTTTGTCGGGAAAATACCGGCAAGCATCCGCTTGAAAAACACGCACATTGGTCTTCTTGTTGATCTTTGGTGTCATTTTTCCCATAGGCGCGCAGTTTGACCCAGCACATGGTCCCACAGTGTGTTACAACCGATTGTAAATTAAGAGGAAGGCGAAAAAGAGCCCACTGAAAAATGTTCATGAATGTCTGATAGTATTTATCTTTCCTAACAAAAGCCAACCGACAAATTGATTAGATTGCAAACACCAAAATTGATAACGATGTTTGTTCTTTAAAAAAAAAGGAAAGATATCTTTTTCATTTATTTCTTTAAAACATTCAGGCCCTTTCTATTTGTTTATTCCATCTTATATCAAAACAATCCAGTTTCGGACTTGATTGTGAG